TTACTTTATTTACTATTATTAAGTAACCAATCCTTTTCCAGAGGCGTTTAAAAGAGTTAAAAATATAATGAACTACTCTGACTTGTTTGTTTGTGAATGTAGAACTGAAACAAAATAGTTGATTAGAATTGTAAAATGCTAACACCAAGTTATGCTGTGTTCACACCTAAAGCATTTTTGAGCATCAGGTTTACATGCAAAGTCTACGGTGCACGTTTTGAGTGTTGGTCGTGCGTTTTGCACGTTACGCACGTTGAACGCTGAAGTTGGAAAATCTGAACTTTTGCAACTCGATGCAGCACGAAAACCAATCAGAGAGACTCCACTGTGTGACGTAGTGACACATTTTCCGACTGGACATTTTCCTGAATGATGTCCATTGTCATTATTTCTATCAATAACATGTTTTTTTCTTTGTCTCTTCCAGAAGAAGGTGCACCTGGACCAGTCCTGGACCAGTTCTTCTGTGTTTGTCTGTGTCTCTTTCCTGTCCTCCAACCAGCCGGTCGAGGCAGATGGTCTCCTGTCCTGAGCCTGGTTCTGCTGGAGGTTTCTTCCTGATTAGCAGGGAGTTTTTCCTCTCTGCTGCTGCAGGTATACTGCTCAGGATGGGAGACTGGGTTGAAGCAAAGATTTGAGGCAGTCTGCTGGCTTCTTTAGATTTCATGTTTTTTCATGTACAGTGCCCTGAGACAACAGTTGTGACTTGGTGCTGTATAAATAAATTAAACTGAATCTAATTGAATCTAGTTCAGCTGTCTTTTGCCACGTCTTTGGGTTCCCTCACGCACAGCGAGGTCATATGGCATCTGCATCTGAAAGACTTTAAGGCCATCCTTAGCCAGGAAAAGATCTTTCAGAGTTTAAGATTTAAATCAGATTTCAGTTTAGAACCAGGTGAGGCTTTTTGGGTAAAGTGTTTCACAAAAGTAAATAGTATACCTGCGGAGGTCAGCATGGACAGCCAGACGTTTTCCTCTCATGGAAACTTTGGCATTAAATTTTGTTTCCTGCAGACAAAAGAAAAACACAATACCTTAAGTGATTCAGATAAGTAATGAACAGGAGTAAATATACCAGTGGAATAATACTCTGATAATAATACTATACAGCATATATGTACACGCCTTTCATACATAGACCTGCTCCAGACATAAACCAGGTCACATCTAACCCCTGATAGATGCACCTTTCCTGGAGCTGAACCAAAAAAAAGCCTTAAACACCCAGATAGACCTGAAACAGATTGTTATCAGGGGCGGACTGGCCATTGGGAGTACTGGGACTTTTCCCCAGTGGGTCGGTGCATCACTGGGTCGGCGCAGGCAGCGAGGGAAAAAAACTTGTGTAGCTGCACTCAATACCAGTAGATGGCGATAATGCACCAATTCATTGTTTACCAACCACAAACAAATTCAGCCAAGTGTCAGAAACTGACTTTTATTTTCTGATGGTGCATCATCATCCTCATCCTCACTGGAACCTACCTCTGGAGAACAACGTGACCAGGAGGAGGATGGCAGACATGTAGGTGGCTGTATTTGTTTCTAGTTTGCTAACTTTTAAAACTTATCTGTCTGACAGGAGTTTTTCTGTAAACCTAGGAAATTCTGTTTCCTCCTCAGCCCCTCTCACATGTGGGGTTCCCCAGGGTTCCATTCTTGGTCTCATTTTATTTTCCATATGCATGCTACCCTTAGGCTCTATTTTTAGAACATTTAACATCCTTTTTCATTCCTACACAGATGACACCCAGATCTGTTTTCGATTAAAGCCCAATAATTCTTCATTAAAACCACTCTGACTGCCTCACTGAGGTCAAAACCTGGATGGCTTCTAACTTCTTGAATTTTAACAACAATAAAACTGAAGTTATTATTTTTGGACGCAGCGTTAATCACAGTGCCTGGTACCTTAGAGCCATCTGTAAAATCGCATGTCAAAAATTTGGGGGTGGTCTTTGATTCAAATATTAACTTTGAGAAACAGATTAATTCTGTAGTAAAGAAATGTTTTTTAAACTTAGACTTTTGTCTAAAGTTAAATCATTTTTACCTCTCAGAGATTTTGAATGTGTGATCCACGCTTTTATTACATCTCAGCTGGATTATTGTAACTCTCTGTATGTTGGTGGTAGCCAGGCTGGCCTCTCACAGCTGCACTTAGTTCAGAACGCTCAATATCTATCAGGGCCCGTATTTATCAAACTTCTTAGAGTGCATTTTTAGACTTAAGTGTAAGTACCAGTAATCAAAATTCTTAAGTCTAAGAATCACTCTTACTCTGAAGAAAAGTTCAGACTGCTCCAGAGGACTCATTAGTGGTTCAGAGTTGCCACTAGAGGTCTGAGATGAACTGAAGAGATGAAAGCGCCTGCTGCAAAGCAGGAGAGGAGAGCAGAAAATGTTCTTTACTTATTACTTAACTTATTTCTAGCGGCAGAACAGGTTGGAAGATGGCTGTTTGATGTTATTTATTGTTTTTTAAATCATCCTATAGGCTCTGACGTGTTAGATAAATTTGAAAATGAGGTTTTTAAAATATCTGTAAGACTTGAAAAAATCTGTGAGATTGCTCTAAACGTCCGTATTCCTGCAAAATTATGTCAAATCCTTAAAACTTATGGGCAATCCGTACAAGTTGACATGTATGTTGATCCATGTCAGGGGGTTTTCTAACGATGTCATCCAGGATCAGCTTTGCGGCACAGCCAGGTGTCGCAAATCAGCTCTAAGACTGACACTTAAGATTTACTCCTACACTT